TTCGCTCGTTCCGTTCTTCTTCTTTCTTATACGTACGTCCCCTGCTCGCTCTTTCTTGCATTCTGTGTGGGATATTGTATTGGGATAAGTAGGTATCTGTGTATATACATATGTACATGAAATTCAATGTGTGTATACATGTGTCATCGCGTAGGGGCAGATTTTTGCTCATTAAATTTTCATCAAATTTCTTATTTCTTTCCGATCGAATTTTCGCCACTTCATTACGAAATACGATACAGTGGTGCAGTTACTTGCACGCAATTGTCAAATAGTTTGTTGGATCTTAATATGATTTATTTCAGTGTTCGTGCTTACGAGAATGGAACGATTACGATTGAAATTTTTACACGAACGTTCAAATTAAACCGAGTAAATAAACATCGATGAAAACCATGTCGAGATAACGGACAATAGAGGAGTAAACGCGTTGGAAACGTTTAAAAATCAAAGTAAAATCGCTCGTCACTCGATAATCGCCGTATTCTCGTTAAGCGAATGTAACCGCATTAAATAAAGAAATATCGTGCGTGCGTGCGTGCGTGCGTGCGTGCGCGTGTGTGTTTTTAAATCGCGATATTGAAATTTCACGTCGGCCTAGAGGATTAGCGATCGTTTATGGTAGTCGCACCATCGAATATTTCTGCTCGATTATAGGAGACACTATAGTCGGATATTTCGATCGTGTACAGGGAATCGGAAAGTAATTTACGTAGATTATATAATAAGAATGTTTGTGTTACTAGGTAATGAAGTATCGTCGGTACAACTACCGTGTGTACCCACGTTATAGTTGGAAAGAATAATGTCCTGGTTCTTTGAATATCTTTGAATACCTTTAAATATCTTTGAATATCTTTAAATATCTTTAGATATCTTTAAATATCTTTAAATGTCCGTTGTCTTCGACACGAATAGGCTTCCGAATGATTTGTTCTTCGGTGGAACGGCGAATCGGTTGATTTGTCAATATTATTTCGTATCGAATGGAACAAGATTCTTTATTCCGAGTATACGATAGAGAGAATTGACGCGTGTGGTGGTAGAGTGTGTTGTATGTAGTTTCGTATACCCACTGATTGAACACGTATGTATAAGCGTTGGGTAAAGAACTCTGGTTACCTGCACTGCATAACCAAGCGCGTGCGCATGCACGTGTACGCCTGTGTACACGTATATGTTTAAAGAAGCGAGCATTTATGTATCCCCCCACAAGCGAACGGGCGAGCGCGCGAGCTCGCTATTGTAGCACGCGTACGCATTAAAATTAATACTTTTCCTGTGCGTGTAGTAAACTATCGGTACGTGGTAGACTCGATAGCGTGTATCTCCGCGCGTGTACGTGTCGCGTAGTGGCTTGATTTGCTCGAAAGTACTGCTGCTGGCCAGTGCTTGGATTTTCTGTGTGGCATACATATGCGTTGGTGCGTTCGCGTGCGTCGCGTCGTGCGCTCGTAGTCGTAGCGGTGCGCTCTTGTGGTCGTGCGCCGTAAGCGCCGTACGTCGCGGTTGCGTGCGTGTGTGCGTGCGCGCGCGCGAGAGAGTATTTTACGTCCGCTTGCACTACGTTGTGCGCCACCCAGCGGAGTTCTCCTCGGCCGCGTTTCTCGTGTATTCGTGCAAGTTCGTGAGCCCTGCTTGCTGCTCGGTCGTCTTTACTTACCTTCTCTAGACGTTGATAGGTGTATTTCTACCTTTATCCCAACTACTAGCTCTTTCTGTAGTACTGTCAACGAGCTGTTCCAGCTCTATCCTTGCCACTGTCTCTCTACCGGTTGCTCGGCTTTCCCGAGTCGCTCGTGTTCGTGGCGTGGAAATTGTCGAGAGCAGAGCCACCATATTATTCTATATTCTACCAGCAGCGGTTGTACTAAGCTGTAGTTTTTCTCGACGATTTTTTTCGTGCGAGCAGTCGTATTAATTAGTACGTGTTTTCGCGAACAAAGGATACGCAATTTCTTTTAACTTCGGATCGAGGAAACAAATGAAACGTGTACGTACAGACGCAGAGTGTAGCAAGGAAGTGTCAGTTTCGTCCTTTTTGGAATGGCTGCATATTGTTCTTATGTCTCCGTAGTCACTGGCAAGCGGTTCTAGTCGTTTAAAGAAGATACGATACTTTCACCTCTCTTCTGATTTGCGTTTATGTCTCATCGGTTTCCATTCGTCGCGCGAGAGGATATGACCTCTACGCGAGATGTACGTACGATCATTTGGATTATCTGAAATTTTTACGTTACCTACCTTAAGAATTCGTTACAGATTTATCCGTGAACGCATTACGATTCATATATTTCGCATATTCTCTTTAAATTACACTACTTCCGACTCCTCTACGCTGTGTTCGTTCTTTGTTCCTCTTGCGATGCACGATTCGAATATTTTACAACTAGTAGTGTAATTTCTGTCGGTGTATTCTCTCTTTTGCATTTTAACATTTTACCCTCCAAAGTAACCTCAATTTCTAGCTGATCCTTACGATTACGCCGTTTCGAGTATCTCAATATTATTCCTTGATATTTCTTGCATTTATTATTCGCCAGAATTGAAATAGTAGTGACTCAGCGATTCAGCAGTTAATTTTTATGACTCTCTTGCATATTTTGTACGAAACGTAAATAAACGAATGGGGTTCCATCGTCTATGACTAGAATTTTCAAACTTGCATGCGTTTTAATCAATTACGGTAACACCTTTATAGAAAAGTGAAAGTAGCTAAATTTTACAAATTATTTCAATTCAAACATCTCTAATATTTTCAACTTCTAGAAAATCGACCGAACAAAATGTAAAAATAGAGTATTTGGCACATATCGTTCTAGTTTCTTTTATTTTCTTCAAACTATATATCGCTATCTTTTACTCTACTATCCTTTCTACCTATTCGAATCATATCCGTATTCGCTAGTACAATTAATATAATTATGTTATGTTACGTTACGTCATAATGTCAATTTTCTAGACAAAGTATTATGTTGTGGTTTACAGGTGGAGTGTTTTGCAATTGATCAGGTTGAATTAGACGAAGGCCATCATTTAGAGTCATCCAAGTTTTTATTGCCTCCTGAAGATCCAGAGCGATCCGTGGATCCTGAAACTCAGGCACGGTTAGAAGCTTTACTGGAAGCAGCTGGTATTGGCAAGTTGTCGTCGTCAGGCGATGGAAAGCACTTGGCTGACCACGAAGTGCTCCGTCGCTTAACATCGAGTGTTTCTTGTGCATTAGATGAAGCAGCAGCTGCATTAACTCGAATGCGCAGCGATAATCCACGCACACAAAACGAAAAACGCTCTCTAGTAGAGGCTTGCACAGACGGAGACGTTGGTACTGTCAGGAAGTTATTAACGGAAGGACGCAGTGTACACGAGACTACAGAGGAGGGAGAGAGTTTGCTCTCTCTCGCCTGCTCAGCTGGTTACTACGAACTTGCTCAGGTTGGAATTGTGTTCATGCTTTGGTTTCCTTTTTGATACTCATAAGGGGGTTCTATATTCGTACCACGCGTATAGATTAGATTTGGAAAAGTTCAATGATATGATACAACGAATGTACGTACAAATGATCGAATCTTTTGGAAATATTGCGCGTGTTGCATAAATAGTTTCATTAACTCTCCTGGCATAATCGAACATTTTCGTCTGCATTCTTCTTACATTATTTCAAACATCTATGAAATGCCATTGTAAACGTAAATGTAAACGTAAATCTAAGCCTATTTTTATCTTAACAAGGATTGCATTTCAATCTTAACAAGAAAAGATACTTCTATTAATTAAAGTTTTTATCAAAATTGTATTATTCTTCATTTGTATACTGCATTCTTTGTACATCTATTGTTCTTTTATAGAGAGATTTTTATGTTATTTTACTTTCTTTTCGTTTACTTTCTTCAACTTAATGTTATTACACTTTGCTCACTTTGGTTCAAATCAGTACTGTTGGGGACAAAATGATTTTATTTCATGAACAATTTATTTTACAATCAGGTACTTTTGGCAATGAATGCAAACGTAGAAGATCGTGGCATAAAAGGGGACTGTACCCCTTTGATGGAAGCTGCCAGTGCAGGGCATGTGGATGTTGTAAGCTTGCTTATTGCTCATGGAGCTGATGTTAATTCTCAATCTACTTCAGGTATGGAACATCCAAATGAAATTTATAGATTAGAATTCATAGATAATATTTACTATATTACATTATTTCCAACATACTTATATCATTTCAACTTGTACCTATAAGTTAATACGCAAAAGTGAAGTAGCATTTTATGACTTTAGGTAATACTGCCCTTATGTATGGCTGTGCGGGTGGCCATGAAGAGGTAGTCAGAGTACTATTAGAAGCAGGTGCCAATGTAGAGGATCACAATGAGAATGGTCACACACCGTTAATGGAAGCAGCCAGTGCTGGACATGTTCCAGTAGCCAAGATTTTGCTACAACATGGCGCCGGAATTAATACTCATTCCAATGAATTTAAAGAATCAGCGCTCACACTGGCTTGTTATAAAGGACATTTAGAAATGGTTCGCTTTTTATTGGAAGCTGGTGCAGATCAGGTATCTTTCAATACAGTTCATTTTATGTCTTCGCTACGTATGCCTCGTACAGAGGAGAATTTCAAGTATTTCAACTTGCAGGAGCACAAAACCGATGAAATGCACACTGCCCTTATGGAAGCATCGATGGATGGTCACGTAGAAGTAGCTCGTTTACTTTTAGATTCGGGCGCGCAGGTGAATATGCCAACAGACAGTTTCGAATCTCCGTTAACGTTGGCTGCTTGTGGAGGTCACGTTGATCTTGCGATGCTTCTGATCGAGAGAGGAGCAAATATCGAAGAAGTGAACGATGAAGGTTATACGCCGTTGATGGAAGCAGCGCGCGAAGGTCACGAAGAAATGGTTGCTTTACTTTTAAGTCAGGGTATTGTATTTATCTGTTCAAATACACGTGTTTTATCTACGAAAATTATCCAATTGGCGATATAACGAAATCCT